ATTAAAGTCCATTGCTGCCAGAATCAATCAGAAGTAATAAAAGAATAGATGTAAAGTGAAACATGAGAATTTTCATTTGGGTTAAAAGTAAAAGAATAAACTGAATTCTTTGCTGTAGGACCCACTGCTAACATGTTCTGTAGCATCTGAAGCCTGAAATTACACTGCTACTTACCCTAACTCGGGCTCCCAGTACCTCTTAAAGATCATCATGAAAAACCCCAGAGGCTCCTGTTTCTAGTTTCTTCGAGGATACAGCCATTATAATTTTGTTCATTAAAGAGCCTAAAATACAGTTTCTGCAAAATCGAAAAAGGCAAAAATGCCTTCGGATTTTTCTTACTTTTTCCTACAGTTTATGTTTGGGTAAACATTATTCAAACCAGTTTACCTGCCACTAGTACAGAGGAATCAAAATATAACACAGAACACTGCATTGATAATAAAAGTGTCCTTAGACTTAGATAACAATATTTGAAGAAAAATTATTCTAACTCAATTAGTTGGTTGAGTTTTCCCCAGAAGCTGTAAGCTAAGTTTGTTTTTGTTGGAATATACACAACTTTTAGAAATAGAAAGTTTCATTTGCTTTTATGATTAGATGGAATAACATAGTGTAGTTCCAGCTGTTCATTTGACCACTTTTGTCTTCCTTTCAGGGTAAAGTTTTTTCCAAATACCCCACACCTGTTTTCATAACCATGACATAGTCAGAAAATTTTCTTCTGCTTAACATCCGTTGCTAAGCAGAATACATTTCAGTTTGCCAGCTGTAAAATAGTCAATCAAGTAAACATTGCAAGTGTTTGGTAATCTAACAATTTAAATTAACAGCCTTTCTCTGATATCCAGCATTCGATGCTAGGATATTTAACCTGAACAGAATCGTGCTTTTTATTGCGTGAGATCAGAGCTGTGATGAAAAAGGTCTGAAATCTCAATATTTCCCACTGTTTCACTGGGGGATTTTTTGACTCTCTTAATCTCTTTATTGGAAGCACTCTGTCATGATGGGCCATGCTCACAAAAGCAGAAAAGATTTTATTAACAGTAGCAAAGGATTCCTCTCAAGTACCAATAGAATAGAAATTGTTTTGTGAAAACCCATTTTCACTTCATTTTACACAAGAAAATGTGAGGTCCAACCCAAGACTCTTAACGTTATCTGATGACTTTTGTTATTCAGTGAGTTGATTTAATTGATTATTCTTGCCAAATCTCAGGCAACATGCTGAGGATGCCTGCCATCTGTAAACTCTGGTTTCAAGGGCTGCCTGGTAAGTGTGGGAGATGGAGACTTGTCAGACATCATTCGTCCTCCCAGCCAGAATGGGAGACATGCAAGGCTTTTGTGTGCAAGTGTTTCTTTGGATACTTACTTCAAATGTGTCTTAAGCCATTTCTGTGCCATAAAACACAAAGTGGACGGTAAGAAGCTGTTCTTCTTACACTGAATCTAAAGAGATACCAACATAGGGATTATTCACTGGGGCAATGCTTATAATAGTGCAGTTTGGGGCTGTGTTTGTTATTGCCTCTATATTTTCCAATGGATTTCACGTGACTGTGATAAAGAAACAGTCTATGATAGCTAAACAAAGGGGTAGTCATTTCAGTTTATATTTGAACTTCCACTCTTCTGGACAAATCAAACAAAGTGGTATCCAGCTGCTTACTTACTCCAACCATAAAACACTGTTTTATGATAGACTTCTGTGCGTATCTATAAATAAATTATATAAACTATTGTAATGTGAGAAAGATGAGGTTTCAGTTGCGTCAGAATCAGGAAATACAGGGTTAGGATTGCCAAAGCAGTTTAAACTTAGCCCCCTCCCCCCCATTATCAGCAATATAATAGTGCCTTTCATTTCATGAACTCATAGTTGGTTAACGTTTGTGTAATAGTAAGAGCATCTGGTTATGGGTGACAGACAAAATGGCAAACCTGGGGAGAAGCATGCTTCCTTAGGATTGTAGCACATTTTAATTCATCATTTTCCACTCACAGTCCCCAAATAGTGCAAGCCTGAGACAGCTGTGAGGGTCCTTCCTTTGAAAGACCTGTCCTGGGACCCACAGTATATCATGCGGGGACAGCCTCTCAGTTTAACCAAATCACTGGACTCAGAGAAAGAAAGCCCTTTGAATAGTAACAAGTCTTTTTTTTAGTAGCATTTATGGGATTATATTTAATCATATAAGAAAAAAACTTGGAAAATAGAAAAAAAAGCATGAAAAGAAAAATAATGTGTTGCATTTTGCTGAATGTCACTCCTACCCTTATGGATGCTTCTGCATTTCTAGTTTACAAAATAGACATGCTATTCAAACAGCTTGTAGGCCGCTTCTTTCAGCTGTTAATATTTTATGACCATTTTTTTTACCACAATAAATATTTTTTTACAATGATGGTTTAAGGCTACATATTTCATTGTATGGATGTAAAATCACTTGCTTAACTACTCTCTTATTTTTGGACTTTTTAAAAGACATGCACTATTATAATAAATAAGGCTACATTGTACCAACTTCAATTTTTTTTAGAATAATTTTTTAGAAATAAACTCTTGTGCCTGGGACAAGCAAATTTTTACGGTTTTTGATAGCTATTGTCATATTGTCTTTCAGAAAGTCTATCCTGTACCAATTGAAATTCCCAGCACAATATTCCTTTAAATGGAACTGTTTATGGAAATATGTATGCTCAAATTGTACCAAGAAACTTTTTCAATAAATTGAACAGTTGTGCCTAGTCTTACATTACAAATATAGACAATAAAAATGATGAAAACAACATCTAGATGTAGCCTTTTATTCTTATACTGAACGAGGGCAAACTGTTAAAGTTACAGTTTAAGAAGGCACTTAGTTCCTCCACGTTGATGTGATTTTACTCTTCGCCTTAATACCCTGATTCTTACGCACTGATAAAAAGGCCCATAACTTGTAAATGTTTCATTGCTGCTGTCAGTGTCATTTCTCGTTTTCTGCACCGAAGGTAGCATATGAAGGAGGTCTCTTCCTTCTTCAAGCTTCCTAAGGCAGTAGAATTGAGGCAAAAGTATGCAATTTGACAAAACTATCCAATGCTCAGTTGGCACGTGGTTGCAGACACAGATGTGAGGCAGGCAGGTGAGTTCTGGCTTCCGTTGTAGAGGGTGCCTTCTCCACCTCATGTAAGTGCTGGTGTGAGGTGGCTGTGGTCTTAATGATGGCCCTCTTTCCCACCCCCCCTTTTCCTCTCTCATTACTTTTCTTCTTCTCTCTTTCTCTTTTATGAGGAAAGAGTGAAAAAACAAAAAAAGGAATGCAATCAATGAGAAAACACTCCAGTGAAGGTAGATGACAAGCAGCTGCTGCCTGGTACCCAAAAATGCACGGATCAGGCCCAGCCTTGTTTTGCTTGTGAGCTCAGATGGAGCACAGCCTTTGGCATAATCACTTTGGGATAATGTTTCTTTTTTTAAACCTTTGAATTTCTGACAAGTGAACAGATAAGGAGGGAAATTCGGTCATATAGTGGCTCAGGGAGGCTGAGTGTGTGTACTCACCAACACGTGCATGCCTCTGTGCATGTTTGTGGAGCTATCTTAAACCTATCAAACATGAAATACAATGATAGGTAGCTAAAATTTCAAAAATATAGAACATAGAAAAAAAGCGCAAAATCTGAGAGATTTTTATGACTGTGATCTCATTATCCCGTTGAAGGTACACGCTGTATTTGCTTCATCTCTTTGGTGGAGAGTACCCGAGACACACAGATTTATAAAATCTAAATCTTTTGATTTTTTAAACCAATGATTCATATTCTGGTTGAGCGCCTGAAGTGACGTCACTATACATTTCTTTCTGAAAAATAGCATTTTATTTCCCTTTGTCTTACATTTCAGCCAAGTCCCCACATCCTTCCCTTTTTATTTACTGTGGTCGGATTCCAACCTATTCACCTGGTAAATGAGGCAAATTTTTCAAGCTTGTAGCAACTGTTTATCTAACTACATTTTAATGGGGTGCACATTGTTGTTGGGTTTTTTGTTGTTGTTTCGGTTTTTTTTTTTTTGCTGCAGCAGCAATTTAACCCTTACAGTCAGTTGGTCGTGAATTGGTATGCTGCTGTGATTGGTGAACTCCAAAGGTCTAGGCACACACACTCCACACACAAAACCGACAACTCCTTTTGAAAGGAAAGGCTAGGTTTGGGCAGGGAATATCCTGACTCAAGAAAGCCAAATCAATCAAAAGCCAGCAGTTTTCTCAGACTCCATTTCTCTTCATGAAAATTCAGTCTCAGGAAAACACACACACACACACACACACTCATCCCTGCACCTGGGAATCCAAAGCACTCAATAGCCTGAAGCATCATTCCCCAGTGTATGAAATGAAAAGGGCTCCCTCCCGTAAGAACCCGGCACACTCACACCCTGTGTTTTCGTTTCATTGTTGTTTTGGTGGTGCTGCTGGTTGGTTTCTGTTGGACCCCAGGTGCAGAAAGTCAAGTTAATCATATTCAATGCAGAGCTCTCAATCGCCAGTGATCTGCACAAGGCCCCTCGAATTTATGTACCTATTCCTTTTCAGCCCCATTTTCCCCTCCCCAGGTATATAGCCATTCTAGCGTATTTAATGCATATCTTTCATTTGTAAGGGTACTCTACGAGACTTTTGATAAGTCTGTGCTATCCTTCTGTTAAATTTTAAAAGAACCAAAACATCTATTTCTTTTACCTTTTAAATGTTTCAAAGTGCATCTTGTGCTCCCATTTTTATTTTAAAAAGCCTCTTCCTCCAATGCTATCACTGTTAGAAATTGATTCATCACTCTGGGTGATTTCTCTGTCCAGTCCTAGTCAGCCTGCTACTCTCCCGGAAGGAATCCTGCAGGTCTTTGTTCCTTTGCTCTTCCAGGACTTTACTAAAATACGTTGAAAACTGCGCAAATTATTTGCAAGGATACTAATACATGGATGGAGCCAGGAAGTTTCAAACAGACGTTTCTTAATAAACCAGATCTTTCATGAATTTTTTATTTGCATGTTCTTCCATATCCACTCCCTACCAGGTGTGGTTTGTAGAAGGCACACAGACCGAGGTTGACGTGTAATCTGTGCTAGGTACCTGGGAAAACAGAGAAAATGCATGCTCTTGAATCCCTTCATTCTGTATTAAGATTTAGGACAAAACCTAATTGAGAACAAGTAAAGCAGGATTTAATTAAGAGCCAAATTTCCTAGAACTTAATTGTTTTTTAACTTTAGCAAAATCATTGAGGTTGCTGTGGTCAGAGAAGTCTTCACTATAGGCCTCTCCCCTCTTCTCCGCGAATCCATTATTAACTTTAGTTTACCGATGAGGAAACTGGGACTTAACAGGGGTACTTACCCATGGCCATACAAGTTGTCAGGACTGGAATCTAGATTTTTTTTTAACTCCAAAGCCCATGCACTTAAATGGGTTCTTCAAGAGTTTACTACTATGGTCAAAACTTGGTTTGACACTCTGGTCTGCCTCCATTACTGTGTAATGTGCGTTTACTCAGTACTCTTGGCCCATTCTGTGTGCCGGGTGCTGTGCTGAGCGTTGGAGATGGAGGGATTAGACAGCATAGAGTCTTCTCCAGTGAGCTGATGTTCTGAGCAAAGCAAGCAGGGTACGTACCCATCCAAGTCCAGACATTCTTATTCTGCTGAAGTCTAATAAAGTGCACATCAAGGTTATCTTTAAAGGGGAAAAATATAATAAAGAAGTCTGAAGAACAGTGAACCCAAAATTGAACCCCCTGTTGGTTTATTGCAGCTCCAACTGCTTTTGCTGCAGAATGAGTCTCCCGTTCCTGACTGCAGACTTACCCCTGACTGGTATCTCACGTATTGGACTCAATCTCATAACTTCAGATCAAACATGATATACTAGTACGTATTTGTTATCATGATTACCCAAAGTGATTATTTGGATTTAGCGTCCAGTTCCTAATTTTATAGACATAAAAACCGTGATACTAGAATCTACTTCTGATTAAAAGAGAAAGACTTCCTAAGATCCATGTAACCATCTATTTGTTCCACTCTTGGAGAAGCTATTCATTGAAATCCATAAAGAAGCAATGGATTAAAATCAAGAAAGTGCCATTTTTGAAAGTCATTCCCTAGACTTTTGTAGTGGTAGACACTCTAGAACTTATTGCCATAGCCTGTATTCTTTGCCTGTCTGATACCACAAACCAGGTCATCCAACATTGTAAGCGGCATCCTAACAAAATAGACATGATATGGAAACAAATACCGGTCAAGAGGCTAACATGGGTCACCTCCAGGTCACTCATCCACATGAGCAGCATTTTATGATTTGGTTCAGTGCTGCCCTGAGGTACATATTAACTTTGACTGAAGCGAATTACTGAAGATTTCCTCAGGAATGAGTCCAAGCAATTTCCTTCTTTTTTCATTTGTAATGTGTTGACATTAATTAGTACCTAATTCCTGGAGTGTGTTCAAGCTTCAGTGATAGACAGAAAGGAATGATTTCTGAGCAGATTAGGCACACAGCCTCCTGGCACGGTTCCAGAGATGGAGGTACAGCCTGGCTGCTCTCAGGAGTGGGTCCCCATCAGACTGGTTTACATTCCTCATTAGGACCCAAAGATCTGAAAAAGAGAACAGGAAATGGTGCTACTTCATAGTAGTAATCACTTTTCCTTAAGAAACTCAAGCTACTCTGGGTTATTGTCTAAGATCTATGAAGAGAAAAAAGGTAGAGTGACTTAATGACCGTGCATGATGACTGAGCAAGCCAGTGTCAAAGGACATCTGATTCCAGGACCCTCTGGCTTTATGTTATTTCAAATTTACATATTTCTTCATGCATCCCTGATCCCATATCTGCACAAGCAGCTTCTATGTTTCAGTGAAAACAAGCATTCTCAAGGATAGCTTCATAACATCAGTTGGACCATATTTAGAATTAAAGTATAAGAAAGCCTGAAAGAGTAGTATGAGATATTTCATGCATATTATGTCTTCAGCTAATAAGGGGAGTCTTCTCCTAGGTCAGAGAGCTGTGATATTACTGTGGCATTACAGACTTTTACGGGAAAATATTATTAAAGGCTGCTGTTTGCCCTCATCCTCGTATGTTAGCATCTTCATTTATAAAACATATTTCATTATTAGAAAGATGGAGATGGAGAATGAACAAACTAATAAATAGCAAACATCAGGGAAGACAACCAAAACTGTCCTTTTAAAAATCAAGTGTGAATACTATACAGATCTTAATAAATAGCACAGTGGTGAGCAGCCTGGAGTAGTAGAAATATACACAGCAACATAAATAGAACAGGGAAACAAGAAAAAATCAACTGACATTTATAATCTGGCTCCATCTGTGAAAATTAAAAATGTAAGCACACAAACCAACAATACACATTTCACAAGAACAAGTACAAAGATACATAGCAAACACATTAGGTTATTTTTTAGAGAAAAGAAGGAAATAGGCATAGAAAATGAGGAAGAAATGGGATAAAGCAATAGAAGGGCTTTCCCAGGACCAGTAATTATAATGAGGTGTGAGCTGAGGAATATGATTAGCTCAACTCTACACCTAAATTAAAAAAATTAAGTCCACATGAATGTTCCAAGCAGGATAGACAGCTTAGAACTGTTGGGTCCCAATTTTCATATCATTCTGTTCTCTGTGATGATATTGCGTGGCCTGTTAACCAGCACAGTACAAACAATCTCCTGGCTATATGTGCTCATGACTATTATTGTTCATAGTATATTCTAAACAGACAAAGCCATTTGATTACAAGAACACTGCAGAGAAATCTATGGGAGACCACAACTCCGCTGTACACATTGCTTCTCAGACGTGATCCAGGAAAAGCATAAACCTTCCTGCAGTAACAGAAGGAAGCAAGTCTTTGAGGACATGTGATTTTCTTGCGTGCTTTGAGCCTTTCGGTTTGTTATTGTCTATTAGAGAAGTATCAGCTAAACTTGATCCACATTCAGGCAAAGGCAAAATTACCTATGCACTTCCCAGCCAAGACACCTAGATTCACTGGTCAGAACACAAATGTTAAAGCAACACACTGACATTTTCAGCAAGACAGTAACCGAACAAATATTCCCTTGCTGCCTTCCTTTTAGCCCACGCTCCGTGAGTGCCCACATTCATACATAGCCTGTAAGAATAGTCTAACATTATGAATAACTTGACCAGAGAAGGGACAAATAGTCATGTTATTAAAGCAAGACTTCACGGCAATTATGAGAATAGAATCTCCTACAAATTAATTTTTAAAACAACTAATGGATATTTTAAGCACCAGTTTTTTGTCATGGTTTTTGTTTTACACAGTTTGCACGAAAGTTTTGATAACTTTAGAAGCCTTCAGATTTTATGAACAAAACGTAATGCTTGTGAATACATACCCAGGGAGACCTCCAGCATGAAGATTCCTTTCAGAGAAAAGCCTGAATATTGAAAATTTAGCAGACCTGGGTTTTAAATAGTTGAGCTTTTCAAGGGGATGGATAATCTATCATAATGGAGCATTAACTTAAAAAGCATACATTTATGGTTCTGTTTTTATGACACCATTATGATCTTTACTCCTAGGATAGTTAGTCTGTGATCAGAGTGTGAAAATACAGCAGAGATCAATGACAAAGAGTTTAGTTGCCAGTTACTTGGGGTTTTCGAGTTATTTGCCATTAGATTTTTAATATAATGAAAAAAGGAGGCTATTATCTATCATCGTCAAAGAAATGTGGGCTGTAGTTCACATAGCTAAAGTAACTTCTAATTACACGAGATTGGATTTGCTTTCTCCATAGTCCATTTCAAATGGAACGAGTCAAAGAATTCATCCATTTCTTTTTTTTCATATCCGTATACTTGTGCCTTCTTCCTGAACAAGATATATGACATGGCTGGGATGCTGTGTGGATCAACCCAGGAACCTGTACAAAGTGAGAGGAAGATAGTCCCAGCATTACCTCCTCTCAGAAGTTGGAAGGTATTTTAGGGTGAGTGGATAAAACTCTGGGCCTTTCTCTTCCTCCTAATAAAATTTGGCATATACAAATTCTTCTCATTTAAATTATTGATTTGTTCCTTTAAATCCTTATCCAAAAAAGGAGCTCTAATTGTACAGTCAATCCAAAAATATTTATTAAGCACTTACAATAGACTAACCATTGTTCTGCTCTCTAGAGGTGTGTTTCAAAAAGTGGGCTTTCCAAATCAACTGTAACTGAGTTACTAAATGTAATGCAAATAAACTGATAACCCCTCCCCAGCCCAGACCAACTAAATTAGAATCTTGGACAGTGGGACCCTAATCTAAATTGTCTAATAGTCTAAATTAGACCCAAGAATCTAAATTGTTAAAAGTATTTCAAATTATTTTGAAAAGCCCAATAAAAAAATTTGTTTGCTGCCATCAAGGCCTTCCTAATAAAAAGATGGGAATGCAGACAGGAAACAGCAGATCTAGACTCATAGTCAATAAAATCTGAGCACTGATTTATGTCACTTCTTGGATAAACCCTTTAATTGATAATGCTCCATTATCTATTCTTCCTTCTTCTGACATGGCAAACCCTGAAACCTTATGTTGAGTTGGGGTGTCATAAAATGTTAGCATCTCTACAATGAATAGAACGTTCTTGCCAGTCCACACTGGACGGGTAGCATGAACAAAAAATACATGTTTGCTGTTTTAAGCCACTAAGATTTGGAAGACAGTTCATCGCTGGAGCAAAATCAGTTTATTCTAACTGACGCAGACACATCTTCCATCTTTTTCCCTATAGGGAAAGTTGTCACCATACATCCTTTACTTCAAAAAAGTGAAAGAGGAAAACCCAGAACAATCAGGCATTCTAAGGACAGAAAACTTCTAAAGAACACTATTATAACTAACAACATTTAGTGACTCTTTCCATATGTTAGACACAGCAGTAAGAGTTCTCCGTGTGAAGATAACTGATAGAGCTTGCCGAACAGAGGGAACAGCAAGAGCAAAGACCCTAAGACGGCAATGCGCTCGGCATGTTTGCGGAACAGAAAAAAAGGCCAATGTAGCTAAAGAATATGGAGGGTAGGCGAGACTGGTGAAGGACGAGGGACAGAGGTGGAATCAGAAAATGTGTTAGGGGTCAGATTGCTTAGGCCTTGTGAGCCATGGGAAACGCTTTGGATTTTACTCTAGGTGCAAAGTTTTAAGCAAGAAACTATATGATCTCATTTACATTTCTAAACGATTGCCCTGCCTACCTGGGGGACAGTGGAGAAGAGCTCAAATCATCAAATACAGAAAGAAAAAATTCCCCGTTGAATACCCTTGTGCTTTTTTTACAGTCTTATTTCTTAATAATAGCAGTAAGATCGAAAACTAACTCTCAAAAATGAGGAGATTAAGGAAATAACGTTTTATTTCTGCAGTGCATTGGTTTACATCTATTTAAAAGGATCGTGTAAAAGAACATTAAAATGATGTGAAAGATTTTTAGCAATATCTCACCAAGTGGGAAAAGCTGGTGACAAGACATTGTGCAATGCGATTCCATTTTTGTAAAATACACATATATATGTATGTGTGCATATATATGCACATGTGTCCGTATACGTGTACAGAAATAATCATAATAAAGCATATAATCAAAATGTTAAGGGTGGTTATCTTTGGGTGAAAGGACAATGAGAAATTTTTTTTCTGTTCTCTGAGTTTTCTGATTTGCCTACAACGGGTGTGTAACACTTTTATAGAAAGGCTATTTCCAAAAAATTCTGCTTTCTTGCCTTTATACTTACTTAATATTCTAGTATTAAAAATGAGTAGTGAAGCAGGCATTAAATTATGTTTTTTAACTTTCTCAACCTCTTCCACTTGCTTTCCTTTCCCTAATGAGTCTGGCAGTCCTGATGTGCTGACTCTAAAAAAATATATGTTTGGAAAGATCAGCTTTTCCAGTATCAGAGCAGAGGCACACAAGAGTTTAGAAGCACTCCAGGAGCCTCAAAATCCAAAAGCTCAGATTTCCTTGACTTTAAGTTTTAATGTGTCCAGTCTTAGGTGATGCTGCTCCCAGACATTGTTGATGGATTGAAGAAAGCATCTGTGCAGTGTAGATGGCATTGCCTGTATCTGAAAATAGTTGACAAAATTCACGTGGTTAAATAAATCAGAGAAATGGTAACCAAGGCACAGATGTTTACAATCTTCCTGCACAGTCGTATAAACATAATCTGTCAGGAAAACAATGCCTGCTGGACTGTCTCTCACATTCACACACTTAAATAATTTTTTTAAAAAACTATTTATTGAGCATTTAATATGCACCAAGTCTAATGCTTAACGATTAAATTCAGTTTCTCATTGAATCCTCAAAGGAATCCTATAAACAAGATACTATTATTTTCTCTTGTTAGATTTTGTAGGAAATTGCAGCTCAGAGCTGTTGAGTAACTGATCCAGGGTCAGACACGAAGCCCATAATAATAAGCACTTCATGAACAAGAATGTATGGTTATATTTCAGGCTCATATGTCTACTTATTTAAAATTATACTTGGTTAAAAAAAAAAAAAACACTTTCATCTGCAAACAACCAACAGAACACGACATGATAAC